GGCGGTTTTCGCAGCCTAATAACGGAGTTGAGTATTGCGCAGTTCTTTTCGTGATATATATCGTTCTTAATCCATGTTTGATACTCAAACTTGGCGCGCTGGGAGCGTATTGGCCAGCTCATTCCTGTCCCCAAAACATTTGCGCAAAACCACTACCCAAGAATGCAAAAAGTCCACTTCCGGTTGAGGTGTGCTGTTTAAAACAACTTCTGTTCAGGCAGTGCTCTTTCCTTCTCCGGAGCCGGAAAAGAAGCGTCCGCAACCCTTAAATTAACTTTACACGGAGTTGGTATTAGGCCCTTCGCACCTGAACCCGCCTTTATCTGTTCTAATTTATTTTCCGTCTCTATTTTGTTACCATTGTGTTACCATTCAAAGCGCTCAAAAGGAAAAGGCCCGGTTTGGACGCCTTACTTCACATGGCCTAATCAAATTCGAATGTAGGCCCGCGACGCAAATTAATTTAGGCCGGCTGAATTGATTTTAGACCAGGTCCTTAAAAGACGCCGGTCTTAAGTCTTTCTGATCAAAGCCGAAATATTCTAAAAGAAAAAACGCGCATTTCGGTAAACTACATTTATAGAGATTTATGCATTTAGTTCGGCTCATGTGAAGTTCGGCGTTATTCCTAGCCGAACCGATCCAAATTCAGCCACCGTACTTTACGTGGGCTTAATTCATTGAATTCGATTCGGCGCATGTTAAGTACGGCGTCTGAACCGGGCCTAAGAGACTTTGAGTTTGCCCAGTTCACGGACTTTTAAATGCAAACACTGGCTGTAGAATGAACTCGAAAGTCCTGCGTATGAACGGAAAGCCCTCTTTCCAAATGAACGTTAATTTCTTTATACTGCTCTCGGATACGCTACGTGCGGTATTTGAATTTCTCGTCCATTCTACAGCCAGCCCGTGTTTTGCCAGTAAAACACGAGCTAGAAGTCTCTTACCATTAGGTAAGAGATACCTCATGACGCGGTTTTTGTACGAATATCACCTGGCGGGAAAAAAATGCGGATACTAAATTTACGCCCGAAGTTTTCTCATTCTTAGTTTAACCTCGTTTAATGGCTGTGTATATTCACGGGAAAAAGCATGAAAGATGTGAATATAAATTTATAGCCCTACAAGAGACACTTAAAAGCGTTTTGACGTTGTTTAGGATATTCGACTCGCCTCAAGCTCTTCCAAAAATATAAATATATTATACTTTTTTTCACCTCTTAACCCAGACATCAACTATTTGATTTCTGGAGAAACTACAATTGTCCGTGATACTGTACAGTAGGTATCACTATAACTTATTTTCAAATTAATTTCGCTGTAACCAGGCGAAAGTATAAAACGTCTGTTCAGTAGGACAGGTGGTGTAATTTTAAAAGCTGCGGCATTGATGACTTCGGCCGGTATCGAAAGAGAGTAGTTCCAGTTGTGAGAGCAAACAGCCGGTATTTGCCGCGTCTGTCGCGGAAGAAATACCGCCTGCTTACCGAGGCCATAAATCACTTGTCAGACCAGCCTTTTTACAATTATCAGTCGTTAAGTATCTCTTGTACTTCCTTTCACGCGAGTGAGATTTACACCTGCTCTGCGCTCAGACTTTTCCCAACCGTTTTATTAAAGTTTATCTTTACTCGCTTTGTTTATAAAGCGCACGCAGGTAGTAGGAAAATACATTTTATACTTTCCTGTCTAGTTATAAAAAAACTGATCAACGCAAAGCATCGTAGGAGTGCAGTGGTCCATATCTCTCTCTTTTTTTTTTAATTAAATGTCAACTCAGAGGTTAGAACCTTTTTGGTAGAATAATAAACAGTACTGTAGGATATTTCTGTTCATTAGATTACGCTTGAATTGACACTCAAAGATTTCAACCTGCAGAGAATCAAAAGTAAGAACCAACGCGGCTTATATAGTGCAGTAGAAAGTGCTATTTAGCAAAATTCTGCTGGTCCGGAACTCTGTAGGAGTTTGTTTTCCAGAAGATATATTTAAATCACACGACGATATTGTCACTGCCGGTTATATAGAAAAAATTCGGCTCAGTACTACTTTCAGTGATTTCAGTGATCATTGTTTACCATGATTCAATCGGTAATCGCAAAAGTTAAAACCACTTTTACATGTTTATGTTAAATAGTGCTGAAGGGAAGTCTGCTCAGTGAGGCAGTCTTTGAATAGTCACACTAAAGGGTTAGAATCGCTTTACACGTTTATTTACAAAACCACAGGAAGCTACAATTAGCTTTGACTTTAACTGTTAAGATGTGGCGTTCATTCAATAACAAGACAGGAATACCCGTATTCAGTACCCAAGGCCAAGGAAAATATTGTGTAATGTGGCGCGCTTTTTAGGAATTAGCGCGATTTAGAAATTCGCCCTCTGACTTCGAGGTAAAACAACCTTTCACAGCTTAATTAACACGGAGTCCTTCACAAAAATTTTGATCAAAAGATTTATTCGAAATCCCCTTTATTGACACAAAAAACCTCTTTGTATTTTCCCCATTTCCTCATACACATGAGACGCGGATTTACGCCCATTTCCCTCCATTCACCGTCGAGGCCTTTTTGTGTCGTTGAGAGATTGGGGAGAGATCGGAGAAAAAGATAGCGCACGTCCACCGCGAGCTTACGATAATTTTGTACAAGAGAGAATGAGATAATCCCCTCTTGTTTTGTATTATCCGTTACCTGAAAATTCGTGTCGTACGGCCCCGTTGACGCATTTCTCTTGGTAACTGTATCGTTCATGGTGGTTTGCGAGTATATGCACCGTGCTCGATAGGTGCAGAATAGCGGAGGCCGGGAAAAAGGTTTTGTATTCCATGCGCGCTTGCCGTTTAGGAGGGTCTCAATGGGGTAACCGATAGGCGTAAAACGGCCAAAAATTTAGCCGATAGCCGTAAAAATTGAAAAATTTTAACCTTCAGCCGTAAAAGAGTCAAAATTTTAGCCGATATCCGTAAAAGCAACCACCCCATTGGGATTCTCGTTTAGCGCGGAAACATTGAATATGGCACCAGTCTCAAGTGGACCTTGTCTACTCATTTGCGTCTACTGATAATTTCTCGTCGAAAGTTTATTTTTACTTTCCCTATGTCGCTTTAAACAGTAGTCAGTGCGGAAACCTATACTAATAATATGTATCGCCAAAAACGGATTTGCCTTTCCTCGATCTAACTCTGATAAAATTGTGTAGTCAAATTACTTATTCTCTTTTATCTATGTAAGTTTCAGTTGTAAAGTTTTGTTTACCTCAAAAGTCGTTTTGAGTATAGGTAATACGTATGTGGCAATAGAAATTTGCTAACTTGTCTTGAATTGTGAAGTGCACATTTACTGTGACCAAGAGCCATGGCTGCCATGGATCAGTGATGTTACTGAGAACGGGTGTAGGGGTTTTTAAGGTCTCGTATTAATCTAGGATGTGCCAACCCCGAAAAAGAGAGAATAGTGATATCTCAGTATTGAATGATATGGGAGTTTGAACTACCAAGGCTGGTTAATATTATTAACCATACAGAAAAGGTGGCGCGCAGATATGGTGTCATGACGTTTGACTGGTCTGTAAGTATGAACTCTAGAGATCTCCCTCTCTCTCTTTGCGTTTGCCGAGTAGTTTTCTCAACTTCATCAAGACCTACGATGCGTATGGGTGTGGCGCGAAAAATTTAAGTGCATCGCCAATCTAGCAACCCTTACATGTTGAGGTTGTAAGGGTGGCTATTGCGAAGTAAACAGTTGTGATCCTTCATCTAGAGTTATAGACGCGCGGCACGCAACGTACTTTTAAAATTTCAATAAAACCAACATAGGTGGCACGCGACAGTGCATGTCTGCACGATTAACATTCCATTAAGGCGCGTTGATTGATTAGCGGTGTGTGCTCAATATTTTTGTTGACCTTAAGGTAATGGCACTCCTAGCGATGACAAGGTACATAATAAAAATGAGATCACCCTGTTGTTAGATGAACTGAAGTGCAAAAACAGGAAATAACATTTTATCTCGTTACATTACAGCTACATTCAACTTGGTCGCTGAGTGCCTTGCGTACGTGCGACAAATAGAATAGATTATGGCTTTTTGTTCTTCTGGTTTCATTTCGCTCGAAGACTTCCGTAAAAGAGATGAAACACGCGAGCTCACGCGGAAACTCGACACCACGCGAGGACAGTTAATAAATTGGTTTCATATGGGCACACAGACCGATCCAGTCTAGTCACGTAGAGTCACTAATTCGAGATTACATCAAACAGGCATCACAGATTCCCCAGAAGGAAGAAGAAAGGTTCCCAAATGTCAAATCAGCCTTGCTTCTTTCTGTTTGTTTTTTTTTTTACCTCGTTTTGTGCGTTCCCTGCTCGGCGGTTTAGAAAGGTGCGACATACAGGCTAATTTATACTACAGATCGCCCTGTACTCTAACACCTTTAACCCTTTACAATTTCTCCAGACTGATCTCATATTCCCTTAAAAATAGTTGAGAAAATCTGTGAAAAGATCGAAAGCATTTTCCCCTATGCATTTGTTCTCGTAACCTTTTCTTGTCTTTTTAATATGTATTGAAATTGTTTGGAGACTTAGGAGAAAATAATATTAATCCTGGTCGCTCTTGAGACTTAAATAGCTTTCAAATTGAACTAAGGTTGCCTCTTAAAGCACTTCACATCAAGAGCGTTAAATTGTTGAATATGATCAAGAGAGCCTTCGATAACTCGCCGATACGGTTAAACTTAAAACCAGCTTCGAAAATTTACTCTCTTACACAGGGGTACAGTAATTTTATTTTCTATTGGTTATAAATTTGCATGGGATAACCATCTCATAAGGGGCCTTGGTAAAAACTAGGGAGGGGTAGTGCCGGGCCTTGGTAAAAACGGATCAGTAGGGTGGGGTACGTAGTGCTGTTAAAGATTTCAAACCCTAATCCTTCTTAAGACAAAATCGTTTCATTCTGATACCCTGTTCACACCCTGTTCAGTGCTTGAACTATTTGTCCTTTGGATTAACTAAGGAGCCATTAACTTCCAAAACATATTTCTACTTTTAATTTCCCTGCGTCAATGAGCGTTCTTTGTCACAAATACACTAAAAAGAAACACCTTGTCACTTGGTCTAGCTGAGTTTGGCAAATAAACTCCGCACAGACACCCAGCTAGTTGTGAAATTGAGCGTATACCTTATTGAAGGCGAAAGACCTTGAAAACCATACCGAGTTCTGCGGCACGAAGCCAGTGAATTCTCTCACATAACCACATGAAGGCTGCGCTCTAAGAAAAATTGTTTGCAGCCAAATGCTCTGAGCCTGTGTCGAGTCCAGGGTGCCCAGTGTATGATTTTTATGCAAATGCTATGATCTTCCAGTACCGGGCGCAGTTACAGCACAGCCCTGTGTATTGTTTTTTGAAATCGCTCTCTCAGTGGAGTGTTTTGTTTATCCGACGGATTTGCGAATTCGTGTAGATAATTGAAATCGGATATTTTTGAAATCAATAACTATACCGTTTCAACCTGCCCGGGTTTGTTGGGACGGAGCCTTAGACTTTAATCACTCGCACTCGTGTAATAGTAGTGTGAGCATGGACTCCACCCATTCCTAACACCACTCTTTATTTTTTTGTGGGATGCTTTGCACAGACAGACAGAAAGACGTTATCTTCCCTTCTCTGAAACAACTACGCGTCATCTATCCTGTCGTAAGGGACACTCAGTTTGATGTTATAGTTGTAACCCGTTGTATCGTCATAACTTGAGGAACAAATCTCCGGGATACCTTCCGTCGAATTTTTCGCGGAAAAATCATACAGACGAATTATTCCTCGGTGTCTCCGGTGAAGGATCAAATCGTCCGCATACCGAAGATTCTCACGAGCTGTTTTGTCCAATGGGATGTTAGCAGTGAACATTCGGGATCCTTCAAACTTACAGAGTCTAACCGGATGTCGTGCACGGGTCATCCACAAAGGTGACGTCATCCGCTGGTCCCAGACCATCAGTGTTCCGTCCTCAGCACCGCTGACCACTTTCCAGTCGTCCATTTGAACTGCAGTGACAGATCGTTTATGTCCCAAATGAAACGAGTGCGTGACCTTCTCACTACGCAAGTCAAACACCCGCACTCGGCAATCATAACTCCCAGTCACCAGGCGATGTTTCGGGCAACTGGCCAGATCTAGACACGTGATCTCGCGGTAATGACCTCCCAATATAGACAGCATTTTAGACGTTTCTAGATTGTAGAGATACACCTGTAGATCAAACGAAAAATCAGGAATTTAAAATGATCTGAGGTGCAAGAGAAGCCATTTCTAGGCAGTGATGAAGGGGATGAAGAATGATCCAATTTCAGCTTTTCTCTTTGTACTCGTTTTTACGAGCAGCCATAGTCATGTGAAAAGTCTTTTTATACAGGGCAGTTATTTAGCCTTCTTTAGCAGTTGCTCATAGGTCGACTTTTTTCCCAGTTTTCTTTTCAGATTTCAGTAGCTCGGTAAATTTACTTCTCTACGCACATAGTCATAATTTGGGGAAAAGTACTTCCCATTATGGGGCACCGCCGTCCTTAGAATGCGTGGCTCTACTGTGACCTTTTTACAGAATTACAACTACAAGTTATGTTCATAACGCTTTGCGGACAACTTATATCAGTTTCCTATGTGCATTTAACGCAGCTTTTTCCCTCTTATTACAATATCCGTCGTCACTGCATTTAGATTGACGCTTCTGCGACAAACTGAAAAACTCGTCCCAGACGTATCAGTCTGAACATAATGCTACCCACAAGGTATAAAGTAAAATCCTGAAAACAAATACAGTCAAACTCCTCCTTCCGGACACCCACTTAATAAGGACACCTCATTATTACGGACAGTTTGCTTTGTCCCTGAGGAAAGAAAGCCCTTACATTTGCTCTAAATTCAACTCTCTTAATACGGACACCCCGTTAATACGTCGGACACTTTCTATGCCCCCCTCCCCCCCTCAGTGTCCACATAAACGGGGTTTGACTGCAACGCCACGTGAATTTGCTGCTTGAGAGAGTGAGGTGGTTCCCTGCTAGCAGAGGTCTCTCACGACGAGGCAAAAATGAGAGAAAGGAGAGAGAGAGAGTCTCTCTCCTTTCTCTCATTTTTGCCTCGTCGTGAGAGACCTCTGCTAGCAGGGAAGTGGGGTGGGAAGTTGGAAGCTACGTTATATGTCTAACTCTTCCCGTTTCCTCATTTTATTCTTGTTGTCAGGATTAAAAACTAACATCCTCGCTTAACGCGCAGGCTTTAGTTTTGCTGGATTTCAACTGAAGGAAATGACGTTCGATTCTTATAAGGTGCAACTTTATGAATACAGATGCTAAATGCAGTTGCCTTTGTTTAAAGCCGGGTAAGAAAGGCCTGTTTTTTAGCAGTCTCCCCTTTACTCAGCTTGAGCTAGTGCCAGGCTGAGCTAGTCTCTGATCTAGTCCAACTCTTGCTAAACGTAACGGTACCTAGTGGGTCGCAATGTTTTAAAGGTAACAATCGTGTGAAAGCAGGTGCGCACGATCAAGCGAATAATTTCCTTTTTTCAACATCTTCAACACGTAATTTATCTTTCTACGGCTTGTCTATGATGTGAATTTTTTTGGCACACAAACAAGTGCGTAGCCTGGTAGATGGTTTGCAACGCGGGCGAGAGATGAGACAAGCCGGCGCGCGATACCCCTGTCTTAAATTTTGAACAAAACTATAGGACGCAGAATACTATAACATCAACATTTTGGCTTTAAAGTAAGATACTTCCCGTGAAATTTTGATAAGCCTCCAAAAACCTTAACTGAGGTTTTTGGCCAACCTTTTTATTTTTCTCCTCCTCTCGTCTCACGCTTCGCAAAAAATGCTGCGTTAGCCTCGCTTGGCTCATAGAGCGCTTGTTATACAGGCTAACCATAGCCGTAAAAATAGTTTACTGAAGTGCCCTTGGTTTGTAATATGTCAACTTAGAAATGGGTGAAGGGGGAGAGATGACCGCTATTATACTTTTTTAAAAGGGGGTTATCCAGTAACATCTCCCTTTCACTTCTAACTGGATGTTTAAATTTATTTTCTATGGTCTTAATTTGATGACAGTCAGTATTTTTTTAATGTTCAATAAACTATTAAAAAACCTCCGTAAAATATACATCAAAATGACAGAGCCAAGTTTCTACCTTACAGATGTGTCCGCAATAGAGAGGCAGGAATTATAGCCTGCGTAGTGGGTGTCCTTTTTATGGTGTGTTTTCCAAAAAGTGTACAGGTTTTCTTGTTTGACCTTGGTTCAGCCTTTGTGTGGCTGTATCCCTTATGTATACTTTACGAAACACAAACAAGACACACCAAAAAACCTGCCTGCTATGAGGGCTAGAGTTTGTATGAAGTTTACCATCTTTGGGACTAACTGGGAAATGCCCAACCTTTATAATGTGGACACCAATGTAAAGTGGACACTTTGCTCTGTTCCTTTGGTGTCTTTATTAGGAAGTTTGAGTCAGATACCTTGTTTCCAAGTGTTCCATATCCAAATGAGCCCACTCCAAGTGCGAGGTGGTCAGCAGTGCAGTCCATACAGCTCAGTTTTCCACCAATCACTTGATCTAACGTCAAAAGAACACCTTTGCCTGGTGTAAGCACTGACACAGTATCCTGAGTTGCTATGGCAACATGTTCAGTTGATGAATATGAGCTGCTGCCAGGAATAAACATGGCATGACTGATCTGTGAATAAATTATATTCCTGGTCTAAAATTCAGTTCCAATTTTTCTGCTGTTTTAACCTCCAATGTAAAGGCTTGTTTCGAAGCTTTAGTAATTCAAACCAGTAGAGAGTAGATCCCACATTGAAGGGACAAACAGAGTTACAAAAAATTCTCAATCTTTTTCTCTTTTGCATATTTTCTGTAATTATACATAATCTTACTGTATTTGGCAGAAGTTAATTTTGTGATAAACAGATTCTACTCAGTGGTGTGTGGAGAGTGTCCACTTAATCAAATAGGTAATCTCTTATGCAGCCTTTACCTCATAATAATTTTATTCAAAGAGATGTGGAGGACTATTAATTTGCAATTTTCCCGTATAATTTATTCACTTCACAAGTCTTTAATTGTCACATTTTGTCATATTATTAAATATAGAATTTTAATTTTTCATGACCCTATTGATATCACTTTTGCTGAAGGTGTAAATCCTGTATAGATATAATAAATAATAAGAAATAAAAATAATATATTTTTATTTAATAATTTAATAATAATTTGAAAAGTATTCTGATAGCTGCAAACCCTTATAACAGCTGCATGGCTTCATGTAAGATTGTTAACTTACCTTATCTTCAAAATTCTTGGATTCAATACAAGTCCACTGTCCATTAGGGTCACTCATTTGAACCTTGAGTTCATGATCTGATATGGCTAGAAATGCTGGGGGATCACTTGTTAGAGAAACACTTTTTACAGATCCTTCACAATGACAGTGACACAATGGTAATGAACTCAGGTTTGAGTGCCATGTGTAAACATCACCTACAATCATCAAAAATGAAAATAATGACTATCAACAGTCAGTTAGAGCCCCAGTATGGATAGTGATAGTACAGTACATAGTTAACAGAGTGTAATGGTTATGAAAACTGACAGACTCCTTTGTTATATATTTTTATAGACTTGACAGTGCACACCATTCAATAGCATTCCTAACATTTTGATCTTGTTGACCAATAAAACATACCATTAATTTATTTGGTCACAATTTTCAAACAGGAAACAAAAGATTGTGCACCGTCAGGGAGCTTCCAACATAAACTGCAGTCACATGAAAGAGAGAAATAGTATTTGTATATTCTGCATTTGTATTACTTGTAATTTGGCCTGCTTAGCATCTTGATATCTATTTTTACAGCTTGGCTATTACCATTGTTAAATCCAGCAGTGCACAAAGTGCTGTTAACAGCTGTAGATGTAACATGTGGTTTGATCCCTTGTGAATCAGGAGTCATAAGTTCCCTGTAGCTTATGTTATTGTCCCTGTCTCCTGTCTCCCATACAACAACAGCTCCACTAGAGTAACCTGAACATATCAAATCTTGATGAATAGACACTGCACATAAGCTTCCACCTTCAAAGTGAATAAGATATTATGTGTTTAAAAATGCTGAAATTCTCTCATAATTACCATGACTCTTGCTGAAACATTTCTCAGCCACAGATGAATATCTCTTAGGAGTGAGTGTCCAATGTCTGCATTTTAAAACCAGTTGTTTAATCACATCCGAGTTGTTACTGTCACAATTTCAACCAATCTTGTCTCATTCTTGTGTTGCTGTTTTAAGGCCAAGTCCCTTGCAGGAATTTGATCCTAATAACAGGGTCTGAGAGCTGTACATATACAAGTCCTAGTCCTAGGCTATGTTGTGGCTCAATATTATCCTTGGTTTAAAATTTATTTTCCTTTGTTTCAAACATTACCATAACCCAAAACAAAGGAAAGTAAAATTTAAACCAAGGGTAAAGTTTAACCACAGCAGCTATGCAGATTGTTGAAGAATGTATTCAAAAGTATCTTTACCAAGAAAGTTAGGATCTAATTTTTCCTAAGTGAGATCTAAGTGTTCATGTTGGCTTAGGGGAGGGGTAGGTGGGCAGTTTCCAAGAAACCTAAATTGATCTGAAAGTTATGACCTAAGTAAGGGGCTCACTTGATCTGATAGTTTACGATAGTCATTTGGGTTAAAGGGATGGCCCAATAAAAACAGCATTAAGGAGGAAGATATTTCTAATGCACCAGTCAATTCCACCTGTGCCCAGCACCCCCCCCCAGGCTGACCCCCGGGCATTAGCAATTTTTTTGCCTTGGATGGCAAATTCCCGGGGGTGGGGACTCCTGAGCTGTCAAATCCCCCCGGGTGGGGACGAAAAAAGAGGGCAAATGCCCCGTCCTCCGTCAACGCTGCGACATTTTTCATTGTGATCCCACAGTCGAATAGTGCCATTTTAAGCATTTTAATGTGCGACCTTTTGTTTCATTTAATGTCTTCCTTTGTAATAGCGCTAGGATTCTAACTAAGACTTCAAGCGGCGACGACATGCACCAGTGTATGATTTTAGTATTGATATAAAATTATTGACATTAAAAATTAATAGAGCGCTGTAAAGTTATATGTTATGAATAGTTTCATAAATGTGAAAGGATTTATTCTTCAAATAATATGAACAGAAATTTGATTCAATGACCAAAAAATGTTGATTCACATCGATAGCTCCAATTTCGCTATGTAATTCTGGCTTGATATGCAATGAAGAAACGCGTGCATAAAATCGCGAACATGCCTTTACAACCCTCTTCAATTTATTCCTGTCCTTGACGAATGAGCCAATCTGCTTTTTTTCCAGTAAAACCTTCTGTGTAGTTATATTCTGATAGGACACCGCGTGCGTGTGAAAACCTCGAAAATGGCCCCGGGGTTGGCGAATGCCCGGCCCCCGGGCAGTGCAAAATTCGCAAATGCCCCACCCCCGGGACTGACAAGGCGTGTAAATGCCCCGCAGTAGCCCGGGGGGGCCTGGGCGCAGATGGAATTGACTGATGCATAAGTCAGCAATATTAAAAGCAGTTATTTCACCCTGGTTGAATGCAAAATGCAGTCCAACCACCCAAAATGCCAAGTGCTTGGTGTAGGCTTACATCAGTATTGAGTCAGTCCTAAGCCATAATTTTTTCCAGCTCTGGAATAACTGAAGCCTTTTGAACTCTAGTGTGTTAGAAATCCCATCGCCTGGTCAAAGGATATAGCAAAACTAGTGCAACTCCTGTATTAAGCCCCCTGGGGTGCCTATTTATTTCAAGCATGTCTGAGGTGTGGGGGGGCTTATTTAATTTAACACATGAAGTTGGAGATCAAGCAGCCAAAGATCAAACACAAATGGGAACTTTCAGCATTTGAATAAACCATACCAGATCAGTCCACATGCAGCATTACAGTAATGATTAATGAATGCAGTCTAGGGGGTTTAAAAGAGAGGGGGTTAATAACTTCCTTTTGCTGAAAAAGGGGGATTATAAAAAGAGGGGCTTATTTCAGAGGATGGGCTTAATAGTGCCTTTCTGGTATTTAATTATGTCTGCCCCACTGTACCCTGCAAGCACAGGCCCTTTGATCTTCATAGATAAGTCGGGAAGAGGAAGGGACTTACCTGGGAAGATTGAAGGGCCTCTGCTTGCAGGGTAGCCCCACTGGTACTGTGGCCTTTGACTTGGAGAGTTTCCAGGCATTTTGTGTGGTTGCTTACTTCCCTCCCCAATACCTTGCTGGGGCTACTGTGCCTATCTTATATTTTTAATTCACTGTCATATCAACAAATCTAGGATGCATTTTACCTCGTTCAAATTCCAAACCAGATACTTTGCATATCCTCTCTTTCCAATTCCTTCTTAAGCTCCGCTCTTCTAACATGCTATGTTGAACAATGGCCTTCCAATTTTCTTGATCCACAACTGAACAGTTCCTTCTTCTAACATACCCTAACTGACACCCTACGTGATACCATAACAATTCATCTTCTGCTAAAATTTTCCAGGACTTGCTCACTTGAGCACAAGCACATAGGTCTTTAAAGTCGAGGTGAGAGAATATTTGTATCCCTACCTCTCTAGGTAAACTCAAATCAAAGAAGGGAATACTTGTTACTTCATCTATGTCTTCGATCAGCTGATCAACAAGGCTCTTTGTCCTGTTATTAATATAATTTGATTGTCCACTAGGGAGTTTACAGCCTGGAGAAAAAGTACTTTGTACATTTTCGTCTGAAGGCAACGGTAAGCTAAACAATATAGTATCATAACTCTCCTTGGCATTTGTGATTGATTTGCTCTCCGGAATCTGATGCGATGTCCCGAATTTTCCAGACTTTTGGTTTAAAAATTCCAGTGGATCGACCGAGTCGGCGTTCAGCTGTGTCACTTCCTCTTCAAAGCAACGCAACTCCCAGAAAGTTCTTTTTTCAGGAGAGTGTTGATATTTTCCCAGTTTGTCCCTGTCACCTAGACTACGTTTTTGTGCGTTAGTAGCGGTCTTTACCTTCAGTTCGTCCTTCCATTCTTGAAGAAACAGTTGAAGGTCTTCAGTGTCCATATCTGAGTTCAGTACAGTAGATTTTTCGCCTCATAAAGGCCTATTCAAAAAAAAATGTTGAAATGTAACTTGGAACATGGAACGACATTACTACGAAACACCGCTGACAAAGCAATGTCATTACACGCATGCTCACTCTTGTTCGCTTGGTGTTCGACAGAAAAAAACATAATTAGGGCCGAGAAAAGGGATTAGCAAAACATGTCCCGCTCTCGGCCTTGTAAAAAACTTACATCACAACAAATACCAGTAATTTGTGCAACAGTTCTGCTGATTGGAACCACAGCGTTGTTCTTCGTTTTCGTGTGAGTCGGAGGGTTTTGGGTGTTTCGAACTCTGATTGTGCCCACGCCGAGAAAACTTGCAGGCTTTCACTTGTCTCTGTCTTACTGGTTTTTTTGCTTTCAGATGCCCTTCTTTGGCAGTGGAATATACAGTTGCGATCCCTGTGTATGAAGGAATCCTAACTCTAATAGTCTTATCCAGCTTCGCGAATGCTACGTTCAGGGATCCCGGTATAATTCCAAGAGGTAGGGAAGCGAGATAACTTTTTGCTAATATACACATTCAGTAGTCGCACTCAGACTTGTAAAGAGGCAACCACTGAAGATCATGTTTAACCGCAATTTATTTAGCGTTGGTTAAGAAAGCACCCCACTAGAGCTTCTCAAGGGGTGAAGAACTGATCCTACGATTGGTTTATAGTTGGAGTGGAGTTGTATGGAATTTTAGTTGCTGTGGTTGTTATCAGACATCGCAGCTGTTTCCTCAACCGGTTTTACTTTGTGTATTTTTGCCTGTCTACCGTCTGTATTTCTGAATACAAATTTCTTAACGTGAAAATTGTTTACCATATTTTGTCATTGATCTGTAATGAAGCCGAATTAAAATCAGAGATTTTAAATTTTCCCAGAAAAGAGAAATATGTATATGTAAAGCAAGAGGTCAATATTATCCAGAGGTATTCAAAAAACTTGTGTTTAAGCGCAGTCATTGTTGATCAATGCCGTGATTCTCCTAACTTTTGGCAGGTAGTGTGATTAAGGAATTAATTTAGTTAAACTTGTCTTATGCCTATAAAATATATAATTTTGATAATGTGTTACCTCATTTACCAGTGAAAACATCTCCAAAACATCAACAATTCATTTTAAAACACTATTTCTTTAAAGGCTGAAGTTTGCTGCTACAAGTACTAATTCTGAGTTTTAATTTATTTTTATTGTTGTATGGCCTAATCCGTGAGTAAGCAAGGTAAAGTGAATCCTGTGTTCCAATTGGCTATCCGAGTGGGCAAAATGGGTCCTTCTTGTCCCTCAGGATTTCCTGCACTGGTCACACAAGGAAAAAAAAAATTTTCTGACGATTCCAGAGATTTAAGCAACAATCACATTTTGATTCTGATCAAATTTGACGATGCAATGTTATTGTTGTGCAAATTATCTACCACAAAGAGTACTGCATGTTCAGAGTTGTTTTGCTCTTTGTTTCTGTTGTCATGGTTTTTTTTGCTCAAGCTTGCTTAATTTGTAGTATTACCATGCAAAAAAATTCTTAATGTGCAACAATTTTTTTGACGAACCAACAATTTGATGGAAAACATGCAACAAAAACAATGTCCTCAGGTGCCAAAGGATTGGCTCACCTTTACTTTTGCAAAAGCTTCTCCATTTTCAAAATGCATGTACTTTTATACCATTTTAAATTTTTTAGATGAATAATCCATAATCTGTAACCATTAAGCTTTAAAAAATGCATGGTTTTTAAGGGTATCTACAATGTAGCATGATCTGCACAAAGATGGTCCTGAAGGGTGGATGATACCTGTGGTGAATGTTTATGCGGTTGTGGTGAATTGGTAATTAGGTAGTAATACATTGTCAAGGATGCCACATTGAACTCTTCTACAGTGAAACATAGAGTTGAACCTCTCCACAACTGCCACCTTGGGAACAGAAGAAAGTGGCCATTGTAGAGAGGTGACCATTGTCAAGAGGTTTAAACAAGTCAGTCAATGTATACCCTTGCGAGCAGCGATTATATTTTCGCTGTGTGAGCTGTCGTGCGAAAAGTAGCCTCTGCCGACAACCGTTCAAGTTTCTATCGTACATGCGCGAAATTCATCGCGTGATTCGCAACAGATTCGCAAGAAACGTTAATAGTCAGGTCTGTCATCAAATAGCACGAGTTTCGCGGGATTAAAAAAAATTGCGACAATTCTAATTCACGCAAGACTCACGCAATGCTCTAAACCGGTCAAGAACAGGAAAAAACCCGGTTTTTTTAATCTATTCGTCCAGATTTCTGACGGATTTGAACAGTAAGTGTTGTTGGCAAGGGCTACTTTTCGCACAAAAGCTCACACAGTGAAAATGTAGCCTCTGCTCGCAGGGGAGTTATTGAATGGACTGTCCACCAAAAAAGTGGCCATAGTAGAGAGGTGGCCGTTAGTGGAGGTTCGGCAGTTACTCTACTTTGTAAATTTAAAACTGCAAAGTGTTATTTGTTTTCAAGTTAAATCATGGCCTTGCAAAAATAGTTTTTAAAATTTACGTTAACAAAAGAAAAAACATATCTGTGGTACCCAAAAAATGGCCAGCGTTTTTAAACCATCGGTAGCACCAGCTTTTTTAAATGAGTTAATCTATGCATGACTGTAAGCTTCTATATAGGCCTCCTTGTCATTACCACTTTAATGTATTATAAATTTCTGTGTACTGTTGTTGTACAGTTGGCTCCCGATAACTCGATCCTTCGAGGGAATCGAAAAAGGTTTGAGTTATCGGGAGCTCGAAAAAAATAGCCAGGAGAAAGGAAAAAACAGGTTTTACTGCACAGTGAACATTTTAATCACATTTAATCCACCGTACAGAAAATGATGGCGGCTGAACATTTTACCACAATTCCTTTCGAATGTAACACGGCCAGTTACACATAAAGTCATATTTTGGGGGGGCGAAATTCATCCCTGTAATAGCAACATTGGCTATCCTAGGTTTGAAGTTTATAAAACTTTTCTGTGTGTTTTTATGAGCAATTTTATGGTTTTTATCTGCTAAGAACTGTGGGTAAATGTACCAGTCACCATCTTTTTAGGTACGGTGGATTGCAGAAATGTCAAGTGAAAATTAAAAGATACCTCTAGATTAAATCAGAATGTAACATAACAAAACATTTCCTAAATAGAGCATGCATTTTACTGTTTTGAGAAGTAAAGCTGTTTCATGTTAGATTTGTGACAAACAACATCAGCTTCCAATAGTAAACTATATGCCTACAACACGTCAATGGGAAATTAAAAATTCAATGTTTGGGAAGCCAGTAGACTGTTTTTTACCGACTTTTAATTAAATAAAAAAGGGCTAAAACGTGGTTCGAGTTATCGAATGTAAAATTATATAGAATGATCTGAGGGGAAACAAAAACTACTTCAAGTTAGTGGGATGTTTGAGTTATCGAGGGTAAAATTACAGTAAATGTATGACGGAAATCCAGGGGAAATCGATTTTGGTTCGAGTTCGGGCGAGGTTTGAGTTAAAGAGGGTTTGAGTTATCAGGAGTCAGCTGTATTTGTATGTATTTGTATGTTGTGGCAAAAATAAAATGAAATGAAATGAAAGGGATTGAAATGGACTTATCCAAGTGAAGTTGAATTTTTATTCTTACGTATTGAATTCTGGGCTCAAAATTAACGTATTTATTTTGGTTAACAGTATAATACAATTTTTTATTGTTATTTGTACATTTATTCTGCATCCTTCCTAGAACTGAGAATGTGTCTTATTTTTATTTTTGTTTGGCAAGTTTCAAAGTACATGGCAGAGCTTGCGTAAACTTATGTCATTTAACTGCTAAAAATATTGCAACCCACACGTTGCAACTTGTAAACCCAATTTTAATGTCAGTAGGTCATATTATTAAAAATAATTCATAAGAATACATAATTTTATCGTTGCAAGGGGTTGATATCCCATTTTTGTAATGATCCTCTTAGGTGAATCCTATTTTTCTTGTTTATTGGCAAAATGTAGTAAAGCCTTTGACTGTTTTGAGAAAGGATGAATGGTATTAATGAATAAAGAAAAATTATTCTAGAGTACATGTATATCCCTTTAAGAAAACTGGACAACAATTCACCAATCATTGCAGGCAATTTTAACATGTTTAATGACTTACATGTCCTCTGTAGGCATTTGGCTATGTATTAAACACTGACAGAGTGTATGTATCTGAAATCAGTATTTTATAGTCAGCTGTTTCCTGGTTAGCTTAAATTTTTTTGGAATCATTGACAATTGAAATGAACACCCTTGGGCTACCCATATCTATACTGTCTCTGATATATTTTGCTTTTGAAGTTAACACAGCATACATACCGTTACGTATGCTCAAACATATGTGTTGTGGTTTTATTTTGTCTTTGGTACAAACTTTATTTTCCCTTGTCTTTGAATATAGTTAAAATAAAGTCATAATATTTTATAATACATTTCAAACAACGGAAAATAAAATTTGAATGAAGGATATGTTGAATTCAAACATATATTATAAAGGAAAGTGATGGAAATTTGTATCTGTGTTGATGACATTGATTTTATAGAATGCCTTCATGAAATTATGTAATAAAGGTTTTTCTATTCAAGACAAGGCAGATATTGGTAATCTTTGAAACAAATGTGAATCATGTGTGCAATAATATTAATAGAAACTTCTTATTTTATCGCTGGAATGCTAATGAAATGCAAAAAATATTTTTATCAGACTTATAATGTTAAATTACTTACAAACTCCTTTCAGAAAGCTACACACAAAAAATATGGATTGATTTGAATAGTACTTACTGTTTAAAAAGCCATCTTGTACATGTAATTTGATCCCATACATGTAGTCAGTGCTTTGTACCTTTTTTGCTTCTTAACCTGTCTATTCCTGTTTATTTTTTGTTGTTGCAAGTATGGGGAAATTCAGAAACTGAAAGATGATGATATGCTTTGATGGGAATAAAAATAGAATGATATGTTACTGTCTCCTATGTAAAATCAGTTTTAAGATCATGTTAGTTAACTTTCAGAGCAGTATTTAGCCATAATTTAGACCTGCTGATCATTCACCAGAATACCATAAATGGGTGTTTACTGCACCTGCAGTGGCAGACCTAGGGAAGGGACCCAGGGGAACCCTCTCCTCTCCCGCCCGCATCATATTTCCAGCACAAGGCTTACAGGGTCAAGTTTCTGACTGAGGTGATTTGCTTTGGTCAAAGAGCTGCCCCCACTCCCCCACTTTTCTTCAAGCTCTTTATCAGCCATTAATCTGTAAGAAATCTTCCTAGTGTTTGGAAGTGATACCATTATTATTTATTTTATTCATTTATTTTCTGGGTAAAGCAGGGAGGGGGTTTTACAAGAAAAAGATTCTTGGTTCCCCTGTGAGGTGCTCTCCCTGCCCATTTCCATAACCCTTGACAGCAGAGAGACACTTTCTAGTAGATTAAGGCCTGGCTCTAAATCATTCATGATTCTTTCCAACAATCATGGTTAAAGCAGCCAAGAGAAGTAGTGGATGGCTAATTGAACCAAAATAGACAAACTAGGAGAAAGAAACTCAGATTGTAATTGCCTTATGTCACCATGCCCTCTGTTGTTTGAAAACTGGAACCAGTGATTCCCACTACTTGCTACAGGTCTAGCCCCAGTTTTTGTGTAACAAAACATCAACCATAAAAAGTGTGGTTTCTAGAGTTTTATTCCTATGGATATAATTCCAGAATTCAGTCAATCAAATATGCCTGAAGTATGACTCACGTTGTGGATTTTACAACAGAATCATCAACAGTTGATCAAGAAGATGACTTTAGAGTCCCGCTGTACAAGAATGTTGATATCAATGGCATTACAGTCCGTATGAAGTGGTGTGACACTTGCAAGTTTTACAGACCACCACGCTGTTCACATTGTAGTATTTGTAACAACTGTATAGAGGTACTGATGTTTTCTTTTTCACCTTGGCTTCCCTTATTAAACAAACCATGAAATCTTAAATTTTATAGCTTGCATAACTGGCTGGATTAGTGTGGGAGTGCTGTATTGTTTTGGCAGCAAAGCCGCAAGAAGAATGGGTACAAGTCAATTTTCCCTTGCGGCCCCCAATATCCACTTTCAATTTATTAATTCTCCTTATGGTACCCTCTCTTGAGGTAATGTATTGAAAATGTTAGAGGAAATAATATTGTTGTTGATCATTGGAATGATATAGGCTTTGTAATGATATAGACGTCGTAACATGTCTTCATTTTTTATGTTCCTCTTCTTTTTCAGAATTTTGATCATCATTGCCCTTGGGTAGACAACTGTGTTGGCAAAAGAAATTATAGATTCTTTTTTTTCTTTGTTTCTTCCCTCTCCCTTCACATTATCTCAGTCTTTGTATTCTGTTTGGTCTTTGTCCTGGAGCAGTCAGCCAACATTAAGGAATCAGCAGTGCCGTATCCTTTTTGTCAAACAGTGTTCAAGATTATATTTCCCAGCTAGGAATGATATTATAGGTTTATAAGAGATGCTTCAATGGGCAGCATTCCAGTTAAATTCTTTCAAGCAGGTTGTTGTGTATACTATCTGAGGGTCACAAACACCATGTGCTAATTTTTTTCATTATATTTAACTTAACACTTACATGTCATCTGTCGGGTCAGGAAGCCTTCTTTGTCAGGTCATTGACCAGAGACCCGTCTCTTATCTGGAACACTGGGTGGGGGTGGTCTCTCGTGGTTGGTTTTCACTTGCAACAGACTCAGGGTTGTAGTCAGAAACACAGGGCATAATGCAGGCTCAAAAATTGTCCCATCCAGTAGTCTAGGTTTAGTAGATTTTCTTGCCGGGTATAAGTAACTTTGTAATGCTCACTTGCCCATGCACAGGGGTCAAGTCAAGCCTTATTCTAAAGAAGACATTAACTAAGACAAGCAGGTAATGGTCCCAACAGGCAAGCAAAATGTAAGAGCTGCTTTCCAAAGCTAAAAAAAATTGAATTATTTTTTTAAGGCATTCAAGGTTTTTTTAGCTGTGTAATGAGCTAGTGAAAGCAGTGTTCTGATTCAGCTTATAGCTCCGCTGATTATAACCTGGTGAAAATGTTACTAGCAGATAGCAAATAAACACCTTGGATCACAATGCTTGGGAACAAGTTTTTGTTTTCTCCTTTGTTGACACGGTCAGTGTGATAGTTACAATGTAGACTGCAAGAAAGCATAGTATACACTTATTGAATAATTTTGTTCAAATCTACATGTGATATGGAAAGATATTGAGGTCAAGAAGAAAACATCTTTCCTTTCTGGGCTTGGATAATTCCGGTAATTCTTTATGCAGATGGTTAGATTATTATTGAGGTCATATAAAAAGTCACCATGAGTTCAGCTAAAACTAGTTACTACAGCATTTTCAGATCTCAGGGCTCAAAATAACGGCTGGTCGACGCACAATGTCCAGCGAAAAAGACGTCTTGACCAGTCAAAAGTTCCAGTCGCTGGTTATGTTTACCGTTCAGGCATGTCTTGAACATGAAACATCCAAATCCTCACCTGTAAATCTTAGATTTTGTCTCTTTGTGAAAATACAATCACTTTCATTGTTTCAATTACACAAGGATTAGTTCACTTTTTTCCAAGTTTTTGACCTGTCAAAAAACCAGGCGACCAAGCAAAAATCTCTTTGGCCGGTCATCATGTCCTGTCACCACCCAAAAATTATTTTGAGCCCTGGATTTCTTTAGCACTTACTACGGTAGGTCTCCTTAACAATTGACACAGAATAGCAGTCATGGTAATATGTGGTTTGTCATCCATTCCTGTTGTTGGCCTAACAGTCTTTCACATAGGACTTGTTTCAATGGGGCGTACAACTAATGAACAGGTAAAAAGACTAGGAAATGAAATTCATACAACTGTGCATCAGTCAATTGCCACAGTATCTATATATCCCCTTGGCATTCTTAGCAGTCAATAAAACTTACAGATTTACTGAATCAGGATTACATACCCTTTGCTATATCATGCCTCTGCTTCAATATTTTCTATGCATGTATATTATGTTTGTGGCCTACAGAACTCATTGTAAACTCATTATTAGATGGACATCATTGGAACTAGTTTTTCAAAATAAGTTTAATGATTTTCTGTTGTTTACCCAGATGCTAGTGGGGCTGAGCAAATGCTTGAAACAAAGAATTTAAATTTAACATACTGTACAGGTAACAGGGTAAAAAAACCCTAGCTGGCCGGAGTCAAGCCAGCTGGCTAATCACAAGCATGAACAATCCAGCTGGTGGTCAGGGTGGGACTTAGGGCCTCCAAATTGCAAGTCTAGCACTCTAACTGCTTTTCCACACTGCCTCCTACTTCTGTGTCCAGTAACTTAAGAGTGAGTACAGTCATGTATTTATTGCTCTGTGATATTTATGTTCTAGGTGACAGGAAAGTTCCGCAGTGGTCATAATCCTTTTGACCAAGGCTGTAAAAACAACTGCATGGTTACTCTTTGTTCTTCCCGGTATGCAAAGTAAGAAGCATTCTTTCTTTTTAATTTCTAAGTCAATTTGAAATTCTTGGCACTAGTCAATTTTAAACTCACAAGTTCTGTGGAGGTTGTTATTAGCAATCCAATACACCAAACTTTTCCCAATCCAGGCCACATAGTTGGATCATCTTGTAAGTGAACAAGATGTTTAGGCGAGATGGTTTTTATAATTATGTTCCATCATTTTTAAATATCTTGTAAGCAACCACTTCTTGCATGGTTGGCCCTTGTTCGCTCTTTGACTACTCAAATCAGACTATAACTGTTGGTGACAATCTGAAGCTAAACACACCTGGACCTATAATTGGAAAAGAACTACTGTGGTTTGATTCTTGTAAGTAACTACTAAATCTTCACATTCTGGGTGGTTGATTACGAGAAGTTCAACTGTATTGAAAAATTCTTAGTAGGATAGAGATCAGCATGAATTGATGTGGCCCAGTCAAGAGTTTAATAGGTTTTTAATCTGTTAATTAGAAGAACCAGTAATCAATCAATTTCTGGTACAAACAAATGCTTCGTAATCTTTTTTTCTCTCATTTTTGCATGGGAGTTTCTGCTTCATCCCAGTCACTCATGATGGGGATATTTTAGTATTAAGTAAAGGGATGCTCTGCATTTTTACCTGCCATCTCCTGCTTGTGTTTTTGGCTAGTCCATGATCACTGCTTAGGTTTGGGAAAGCCTATAGATTAGGCAGTGGTAGTGTTATCTGCATACCTGTTTCTATCCAACTAAAAGCCTTTTAACATTCTGCAATCTATTCTATTTGACAACCCACCCCC